TGACAGGTAAAGCTTTCCTATTCCCCATGATTAAGTTTATTCTTCCATGCTCCACATTCTCACTTCTTCTTAGTCCCTGCAAATCAGAACAGATATGAATACCACAACCGGTATCAAGGACCCAAGAGTTAGAATGGGGTGAGTTATTAGATAAGATAGTGTAAATACCTGCATGGTTGGGTTTAACTTTCCCATCCTTCACATCTTGCTGGTACTTTGGCAGTTCCGCTTCCAATGTGACTTTTCATGGCAATAGAAGCATTCAGCCTCTTTAGGGTCAGAAGAAGGAGTGACAAAACCTTTCTTGGTTCCACTTGAAGAAGAGCCATCAAGGGTCCTAGCCTTGGTACCCTTCGAAGAGCTCTTCCTCTTCTTCCCTCTACCTTTCCGATTGCCAAAACCGGGGCGGAGAGTTTGGAGTAGGAGTGTTAACAACCGACTTACCCTTAAGACCTGTTTCTGCGGTCTTGAGGAGTCCCTGAAGTTTGCTGAGTGTGACCTCTTCCTTATTCATGTGATATGTCATGCGGAATTGATCATAGCACGATGGTAAGGAGTGCAAAATGATATCTATTGCAAGCTCCTCAGGGAAGTTCACATTAAGCTTCAGCAACCGATCCACATACCTTTGCATTTTCTGCATGTGGCTCGTGACGGATTCCCCGTCCTTCATCATGGTTGTTATGATAGAGCATATGATTTCATACCTCTCTTGTCGTGCACTTTGATGGTATCTTTCCATCAGATCTTGGTGCATTTCAAAAGGGTAGAAGTCCTCATAGGACTTTTGGAGTTCCGCTGTCATGGTGGCCAACATGATGCATGCCACTTTTGTAGCATCCCTTTCATGTGCCCGGAAGTCAGCGATCTCCTGGGGAGTTGCAGTGGTCTCATCAATCTCCTTAAGCTCCTTGTCAAGGACATATTCTTTGTCCTCGTAGCGGGTAATCATCCTGATGTTTCTGATCCATTCATTGAAGTTGGATCCATCAAAAGTGACTTTCCCACACAAGTTCATAAGGGTAAAGGAGCCATTAGGATTAGAGCCAGAAGCAGCATTGTTTGAAGACATCTGAAAGAAGAGAACAAGATTAGTTTAGATATTAAGAGAGTCCTTAATAAAACACCCAAATGTAATATTAAGGCTAGGATCCAATCACAATATATTATAACTTAGAAGAGGTATGCCGTAATCCAAGCTATAACATATTTGAAAGGTAGGTGAATGACGATTCACCAATTTCCACCATGAAAACGAAATATAGATATTAGGTTTCTAATTGGTTCTTAGAAATTCCTAGATTCTTTTGAGATTCAATGAACTTTTCAAAGGCATGTTTCAATCTCGAGTGTGCCCTCCAAGTTTTGTGACTGGGATACCGAGGATCACAAAACGAGGTGTGAAGTAACCATGCAAATCACTTGGTACCTCAAAGTTTATCACTCAATCGATGTGCCGGTAAACCACACACGCTCCACCGATGCTATGGTAAACCTTAAGTCACCCTTTACCTACCTTGTTAAGTCCAAGTTAGTGTGCCGGTTAACCACACACGCTCCACCAACGACTTAAACAAAGTGTAAAGTGTAATTTCATGGATTAGCACCTTATTCACATTTTTCCTAAAGTAACTAAGATTGGGAATTTAATAAAAGCATTTAGTTACTTTATAATATTCATCATACTTTTAATGAGAATTTATAAGTCCTTGTCTACCCGTTCGGCTAACGACCCTCCACCGATCAAGGAAGCGGTGGGTGAGAGTGGACACCCATTAAGTTGCCATTTTATAGGCAACAACCTTATACCCCCTTATAGACCGGCTTCGTGAATGAGGCGTACTAGCGGTAAGAGACTTGATCTTTACATATATATATATATATTAGTAACTTATAATATTATAAAGTATAAGGGTTGAATTTTAACTTTTAAAATTCTAAGGGTTGGAACTAAAGTTTTAATCAAGACTTTACATGTTCCCAAACTTGAGGGCAAGTTTTGTAAACTTCCAAAACTTTTCATTTCTTATAACTTATGAATTAATTGAGTAATAAAAATGAAGACTCTTCATTTTTATAACTCTTGTGTTCTTTTAATGGCTTTAATAAAAGTGAGACTTTTGGTTTTCCATAACTTGAGAACAAGTTATGGACTCCATTAAAACACATTATGATCATGAATTAAACTACCATGAAGGTTACAAACAATTCCTATGATCATCTAATCTTCATAAGTTCAAGAACATGAATATGAACACTTTCAAGAATCAAAATTACACTTAAAAAAAACTTGTAATTTTAATAATTGCCATTGTAAATGGATTAGCATAAACATTACACCATCTAAAACAAGTTTTAAAAAATCAAAACAGTTTAGGGTAATGTTTTCTAGTCCATTTCCAGCAACAAATGTGCAAACTTTCATACGAGCAGAAAAAACAGAAAAACGATTTTTTTCAAGCTGTTTGCACAAAAAAAAAAAAAACAACAAACAAACCTAGGCTCTGATACCACTGATGGGTTTTGAGCATTCTAACACTTCCTAAGTGTACATGCAACCCTAATAACCTTGGATCTATGTTTGTCTAATTATCATGCAAAGTTGAATTCCAAGGTTATATTCCTATCTAGCATACATGGGGAACATTTTTAACTTGAATGAAAGATAGAATAACTTACCTTGTTGTTGATTATGATCCTTGAAACCTGTGAGCCTAGCACCCCAAGTGTGATGCCTCAAATGCTTCACACAACACCAAATGCAAAGGAGTAAACTTTGAGAGAATCTTACACTTGCAAAATCAGCTCTAGCCCTCTTGATTCTTGTGTGCAACCGATTTTGGTGGAGAATGGGTCTTTATATAGTGTTGACACATCTAGGGTTACACCATGTAAACCCTAATGTGTCATGACTCTTCATTTCCATGACCCATGGGTTTTAAATCCCATGGAGCATCCATGGAGCATCCTATGGGTGGAACCCAACTTGATAATCCATGGAGCCTCTTAGCCCACTATATAAGATATGGAAGATTTACATAATCTACCCATATATTTAATTAGTTATCTTTTGATCACTTAATTAATTCTAAATTAATTCTTGATCAAACTAATTAAATATATTATTAATATATTAGAACTTATAATATATTAATAAACCATAAGTGTTATTTCTTCTCATTTAGTTTATCCAATTGCATGGTGCCATGCAACCTAAATGGACCATGCCGGGTCGGGTCAAGTACATACCAGAAATAGTTATGGACTTAGACACCTTATCCAACAGAAGATTCATCAAGATCATCTTGAAGCTGTTCGAAAATCCTCGAGAATGAAGACCAAGTCTATGCTAGCCACAAACCAAGGGGGAGATTGAAACGGTCATAGTATATGGTTTGGCTGGCATTACATGTATGAGGGTAGGATTTGACAAGTATTTTGGAGTCTTTTGTCATGTTTGGTGTTTTCGGTCTAAGATAGCTTCGTTTAGGGAGTGACCGAAAACAGGCTTTCGGCCAGCCTGACCGAAACCTGTTTTCGGTCCATATGAGTATATATAGGCTGTCAGGCTGTCAGTAGTAAAAGTTGTTGATCTACAGTTGTTCATTGCTAGTTTTCGGTCCATTGAGTTGTATCAGACGGTTTCATGTGTTAATCGTATGCAAGCTCAGTTTTATTCCACTTCTACTCCTTTCTTCTTTGTTTTCTTATGCTTGATTGATCATTGGTATAGATCCTTCCATCAAGGACCTTACAGTAATTGCTTGGTTTAATAAATTTCCTTATTGTTAATTATCGTTTATTAGTTTGTTTATGGGATATATACACTAAAGTCCCAATATTTTCATCGATTTGACAAGAAAGTCCTAAACTTTATTTTTTTTGACAATAAAGTCCAAATTACCGGCAGTTTTTGACACTTTTACCTTTTTTTTTTCTGGTTAGCCGGTAATTAGGACTTTTTTGTCAAAAAAATAAAGTTTAAGACTTTTTTGTCAAATCGTCAATTAGGACTTTACTGTCAAAAAAATAAAGTTTAGGACATTCTTGTCCAAATCGTTGAAAAATATTGGGACTTTAGTGTATTTTCGTAACCCAAGAACTTTTAATTGTGACTTTTGTTGTAGCACCACTGTTTTTCTTACCATCATCATCTTTACCCTGACATAATCACGATCAGGAGAAACATATGCAAAAGAGAGAGCGAGAAAGGGTGAAAAGACTTGTAAAACTTTCTTCTTGCTTCGCCGCCAAATCTTGAACTAAAAAGTGGGGACAGATTATACAAACACAAACAACACATGCCTAGTTTAAAAACGGTGTGTGTGAATGTGGAGAAGGGAAAGAAGGGCAATTCGTTTTTTTTCGGTTTCTTATTTCTCCATTTTTGGGACTGCAAAAAGCCAACACAACCCTGGTTCTTTCTTTCTTTCTTTCTTGATTATCTTTTTTTTTCAATGTCGGTTTGTTGAGATTAAAAAAACGATTTAACAAGAAGCAAACGTTAAGGATTTCAATAGGATCTAGCTGACTAGAGAAGGTTTCAATAACTCTTATGCTTAAAGAGTATCATACCATTAAATTTCTAACCAAAAAATGGATATATACACAAAGTCCCATATTTCAACGATTTGACAAGAAAGTCCTAAACTTATTTTTTTGACACTAAAGTCCTAATGACGATTTGAAAGAAAGTCCTAACTTTTTTTTGACAAAAAAATCCTAATTACCGGCTAACCGGAAAAAAATGGTAAAAATATCAAAAACTGCCGGTAGTTTGGACTTTACTGTCAAAAAAATAAAGTTTAGGACTTCCATATCAAATCGATGAAAATATGGGGACTTTAGTGTATATATCCTATTGTTTATTATTCACCTCCTACAATTATGTGAGTGGAGTGAAATGGGTAAGGCTTGACGGTGAATATAAAAAAGTTAACCGGAGAATGATTAGGGTTACAATCTCCGATGAGCACATCTTCTATTTTCTCTCTGTAAAAATGAGGAACCTCAAGAAATCCCGAGATGGAGTTGAAGCGGATTCTTCTTCTATCACTACCTTACCAGACGAAATCCTCCTCCAAATATTAAACAGATTAATCGATCTGAAAACCCTTTGCTTTTGTTATCTCGTTTCAAGACGCTTCTCCTCGATTGTACTTCAAGTCGATACCATTTCCTTCACTGCTCCACTCATAAACCCTCCCATTCCCGATAAGAACACCGTCGGTGATGTTTCCCCAAGTATGCCGCTTCCGCCTATCGCTTCTTTTGATTATCGATAAGTACTTTCTATCTGTCTCTACGTTTTTAAGCAAGTTTAAAGGAGTGAAGTCCTTATTTGTCGAACTTCCGACTTCCAGTGAGATAGGTATTGATAATCGTTGTTTGTTCAAGTGGAAGGTTAAGTTTGGGAATAGAATCGAATCGTTTATGTTTCTGTGGCCGAATTCAATTTCTGATCAGGATGGATTCTATCTTAATGGAAACGAGGATGATGAAGAAGACATCGAGTTAACATGTGATCTATCTAGGCAGAAATTTCGCATTTCATGTCAGTGTCTGGAGGATGTGGTGGTGAGGCATAAGATGTCGTTGTTCTTCATCAAGAGTCTACCAACATTGGAAAAGGTTTCCATTACTGATTCAGGGAGAAGTGGGGAATTTTCTCTTAGTGGGGAAAAACTCAATGAGGTGAATGAATGGTTACATTCAACTTTGGAAACTGTGATGAATCGTGTAGAGGTTCCTGCTAGAGTGAATCAGTGTTACATTCCGGTTTTGAAGTTGCCAGTTTCAGGGTATGTGATGAAGGGGGTATTTGTTGTGGTAATGGAGATGAAAGATCTCCAGGATGGAAATGATTTTCTTATGAACAGTGAAGATGATGGCTTTGAAGATAAAGAAGAGGCTGCATATACTGAAGCTGTGAAGGAGATTTTGGAGAAGCATAAGGGCCTGATGCAGAGGTTGCTCTAGTATGAATCAGGTGCATATCTGAACCTGAATATTGTTTTAAGTTTTATATCTTAATCTTTTCTTTTCTACCATACATGTTACACTTAAAGATTACTGCTTAATCCCTCATCCTTAACATAGTTCTTTTTTGACTAACATTCATCACCACTTCCTGAAGTAACAAATCAATTAGGTTTCATATTCCTTTGCAAATTGCAGTTGAATATCTATCAAGCTAGAACTTGTTCTTTATATCTAGTTAATTAAATATGCACACTTTGGTCATATTTCCTAAGCCTAAAAGTGTTCACTAACATGATATAATAAGTGACACCATAGCTTGGGTCATCTTTTTGTGAGATTCAGTATAATGATCAAATTTTTTAATAAACTAATATTTTAAAATTTTAATACTATAAAGCAAACTACCTTAAATAATATAATTACTAGTAATGTAATTACAATTAGGAAAACGTTTGGATGTGCTATTAGGTTGATTAGTTTGAATATTAAGAATTGAAACTGGTTGTAATGTAATTACAATAAGTCGTTTAAGCTCTCACAAATTTAAATTTAAAAATGGTTGCACAATTATCACATTCATCAAGAAATGAGTTTTGTTGTAGCAGTTCATACTTTACTTTTAAAATTTGATTACTTTGATGTGAAAATTAAAATGGATTTTCAAAAACATTTAATATTTCGCCAATGCATATTAGCTATGGAATACTCTTTTTTCTTGTAGGATGTTAAGGATTTATCAGTAGTATGTCCTTTCATGTACATGATTGGTGACTATGTGCACATCCTAGCTCATTGAGATCAATATTACAAATTAATTTGTATCATTTTTTTTATAAGGGTACATTTTAATTGGTAATATGGACTTTAAGAAGCTAAGGTGTGCAATTAAGACAATTGGTGGACATGAAAAGGCATACATGGTTACCACATGTATGTCATTAACCCAAAAAGTAAAGTTGGATGATTATTTGTTAAGTAAAAATACAAGTTTGCAAGAAAAGGATGGTATTCATTGTAATTCATGTTATGTGTATAATCTTTATAACTCATGTTATGTTTTATGAATGACATGTATTTTCAGGTAATGAAGCAAGTTGAAGTAACAACTAACAAGGGAAGGGAGAATATGAGGTGTAGATTGGTAGATATTAATTGATAGAAGAAGATAGATGGAATGTGTTTAAAACAAGTATTGAGATGTGGTTGGTAGCATTAGCAACATGTTTTTTATATCTAAGGGGTACTTTGATAGTTACTAACTAGGTTTGAAGCCGACTGGGTTAGAAGTTAACTATACAAAATGACTATATTATCTTCAAACAATATTTTTTATAATAATTCTTTTACGATTTAGCATTTAATTTATAACATTATATTTTTTTTTATCAAACACATAAATATATAAAAAAACAAAATCTAACATCCAAACACCATATGAATTTACATCCAAACACCATATGAATTTAGTACTTAGTAATTTACAAAAAATATAAAAAATTTGTCTGGCCACTAAGTTTTAATATGTATATGCTTCATACCATGAAATATGTAATAATAACATGAATTATTTAAATTTTAATATGTATATGCTTCATACCATGAAATATGTAATAATAACATGAATTATTTAAATGTACACTTTTTTGTTAATTTTTTTTTGATAGGAAGAGAAAAATCTCGACTTTTGTAAATATGGTTTTATAATTGAAAAATGTACTTTGGAAGCTATTAATAAAATTGTTCGTTTTAGGAAGAAACTTTTATTAAAGAAAAGTGTAAGTGCTTAAAAGTAAGAAAGGAAGTTGAAAATACAAGGCATAAATGCAAAGGGTTAATGACATTTAGGTAAAATTTGGTATATTAACTAGATAGTAGATTTTTTTTTTTGGAAACGGCAAATGATTAAACGGAAGCCTACTCGCATATTTCAACGAGCACCCCGGGTTCGAGCTCCTTTACAGGGCAAACCCAGCCCCCATAGGGGTTTCCAGGAAAAATTTCTCCACATGTGGCACAAGTTTAAGAGGCACCCAAATTGGGTTTTGCAGGGATTGAACTCCCGACCTCTGACTCCACGTGGGTATTAAACCCGGTACCTCTTCCCAGCTAGGCTGGAAGTCATTGGTAACTAGATAGTAGATAGTACAGAAAGGAACGAGACTGCTTCGAACATAACTGAACTAAACATAGTTTAACTCATAAATTGTAGTGTTTGGTATGGTCAGGACAAAACCAAATAAAATATTAGATCTATCAAATTAATCTTTACAACAAAAATGGAAATTTGTCACTTTCTTTCGAAGTATAGATTTTAGTTAATCAAAAAGCCCAAACGAGCGATATCGATGATAGAAAAAAAAAATAGATGAAACAAAAGAAAATTTTGATTCTTTTGAAGAAATATAAAGCAATAAAATATATAAAGATATGTTAAAATTAGAAGAAAGAAAAAACACCATTGTTCATCTTTGTTTCTCCTAATTTCTTCTACCTTACCTATGCTTTCAACATCCTTCCTCTTTGCTCACCAATCAAATCCTTTTTTGTGAACTTCAGCTCCTAAAACGTAGCTTAAGTCAATTGCTCGAAAAATGACCCAGTCGACTACACGAATCCTGTGGCGGCAGCCCAAGGCTCTCTTGACATGATCGACTTTTCATGTGCTTCTTATTAGTCGATTTGTTAAACCTTTGTTAAACCTCTACATAATCTTTTGGTCAAAGTCCCAACAAAATCCAGTGCTTCTTTAAGAAACTCAAAAAAAAAAAAAACAAATTACTTACAAAATTAATTCAGAAATACATTTTTCTTTTCAATTCCGAGATTCCCCCATAGATAAAAAGTTGAAGAAATCTAATGCATGGTGGTGGAGTATGGCTTAGCAAAGATACATAAATCGACCTCTTATGGAAACATATTCAAATTCAAGATGTTAACATAATGTGGCATAAGGAAGTTTTTGTTAAATTGAAGAACCGAGAAGTGTGTTCCACCCGAATCCACCTTTTTGGTAGGACTAAAATTGGAACAAAAAGTCTCATTGACTTGGTCAATTTTTATTTTGTTCATGTTCTATGTAGTGCCAAACGATTTTCATGTTCTATAGTTTCGAATGTTGTTCGTGTTATATTCTTGTATACGAAATTGCAGGTGAGCCTAGACATGTGCGATGTGATTTCAATGGTGTTTTTTTGGAAAAAATCTAATTTTTGACGAATTTTAAAAAAATAATAAATATATTTTGTTAAGTTTGTAATTTTTCTAATTTACTTAGTCGGATGTTGTCTTTAGTTTTTTTTTTTTTTTTTTTTTTTTCAATTAATACGTTTAAGAACAATAAATTAAATAAGAGACTCGATATAATAAATTAATAAATTATAAGACTCGATATTAGGATTTATTGTAAAAAACGGAGGATGATTAGGGTTTTTCAGTATCCCGATGAAACAAACCAATTATCAGCGGCCTAAACAATGAAGAACATCGTGAAATCCCGCAAAGAAGATGCAAATTATTCTTCTCCATTCAGTTGTTTACCCGACGAAATCATTCTCTAAGTCTTAAACAAACTAATCGATTTGAAAACCCTCTGCTTTTGCTATCTCGTTTCAAAACGCTTCTCCTCGATTGTACTTCAAGTCGATGCCATTTCCATTTCCTTCACTGCGCCTCTCGTTAATCCTCCCATTCACGATAAGAACACCGTCGATGATGCTGCCCCGTTTCCGCCTAAATTTTCTTCGTATTACGGTGAGTCCTTTGTCTCTGCCAGTGACTTTTTGAGAAATTTTAAAGGAGTGAAGTTCTTATGTATCGAACTTCCGCCTTCCCGTCGCATAGCTATTGATAATCGTTTTTTGGTCAAGTGGAAGGTTAAGTTTGGTTGTAGAGTCGAATCGATTGTATTTTTGTCACCCACTACTTCATGATATGACATGACTTAAAAAATTAAGCATGAGTTACAAGGATAGAGTAGCTAATTCGATGATAATATGTCAATAGAAAAGTACTTCTTAACCATACATTGTTTACTCTTAATACCAATCAACTCATTGCTTTTACTTCATATAAAAGAGATAGCAAAGGTGTTTTAATGGTAAAATGATAAGTTTCAAAGTCAAATTTCTAAAAAACAATACATATAATGACAGTTAAATGACAATGTAAGCCTAAGTTCTTCTCACTAACCGCATACTATATTTCACCAAACAATCAAGATCAAAGTACAAGTCAAGAGAATGTTTATTGATCCTGATGTAGCATGCATAATCTAAAATATCTAATTATTCAACATCTGTTTCCCTTCTTAACATACCATTGGTAAAGAACATCGGTGCAACTATATTAACTCAAGAAAATGACAAGTCGCAAACTTTAGTTTGATACGTTGTTAATGCGATATGTTTTAATGTGTCGTGTTGATGTCTAATATAACTAAACCCATGAAAAGTGCAATGTAGGAACTCTGCTACCAATGATGCTACAATCTCAAATGTATCAATTCTTTCAAAATTACCATTTAAACCTCAAGAAATGAAAAAGATAAAAACATGAACCCCTCTTGTAGCATTTTAAGAAAATTCATAAGAAATACTCAGAATTCATCTAAAAGAGTGATTAAAATAAATACCCCAAAAAAGCTTGCATAAACTGTGAATAATATCATCAAAAAACACCAAAAGATCCAGAGAGTCGAAGATGAAAGACTTTATCAAACTCGTGAAAAGGGCAACACGAGAATTCTGCTTTCTAATTATCAAGATCACTAGTTCATTACTAATGTTACTACAATCTCAAATTTATTATTTCTTAAGAGATTGCCATTTCAACCTCAAGAAATGAGAAAATTGAAAAGATGAGCTCTAAAGATAATCTAAAAAGGTGATTAATACGAGAATACCCAACAAATATCATTCATATACTATAATTAGTATGATAAAAAAAACACTAAAAAAAATATATCATATTTTTGGATCATAGAGTCTAATGTGATTCAGAAGATAAAAGAAATTTTTCACTCATGAAAAATGGAAATATGGGAATTCTGCGCTCTAATTATAACACATTAGTTGATCACCAATGATGCTTCAATCTCATAATTCATGATACAAGGCGGTTTCTTCAAAAAATACCATTTCACGCGAGAAAACTGAAAAAATGAACCTTAAAGATCATCTTCATGGAGATAATTCTTTTGATGTTTGATTTTTAATTTTTTTTTTTTAGTTTGTCTTGACTTGGCATATTGTTAGGAAGACTAGAATTTATGAACGGTAAGCTACACAACAACTAGTAATTCAGGCAAAATTCATAAAAATGATAAATACATACATTAGTGTTCTCGTGGAGAGCTTGAAAATTTGAAATCAATCCAACCCCTTAAATTGGAAAATCATTTTGAAAATTTGAAATCAATCCGATCCCCTAAACTCGAAAATCAACGAAAAAACTCTCACATAAATGAACACCTTGGAGGACCAATTAAGAGGACCATTTAAGTAAAGCCCATGTTAGCTTTCTAATCCTAGAAATTTCATCAACACAACTCCTTCGAATCATTCAAAACAATACTAAAGTTGCTCTTGCTCTTGATGATATATGGTGGAGAAACCCGATTCATGTTCGTTGAGACCGAATGAAAATATTAACGCTACAATGTTTCGGTGTACTTTATTTAGCTATATTCCCCAATGGATCTTTTAAGTACGGTCAACTTTTACGATTCTTAACTTGAATGTTTTTGTTCGTTTATGATTGTTTATGCTTTTTTAGCACCTTAACTAACATAAAAACACGACCACAAACGTGTTAATATGTTAAAAGAATGAACATGAACAAGAAAATTCATTCATTTATATGTTGGAGTTTGTTCGGTTTACTTAAACAAACAAACATGAACAGACAATTATGTTTTTGTTAAATCGGTTCGTTTACAAACATGGTTGTAGGATATTTCAACTTTCAGGAGTTAATTCTCCCATGTTGTTGATGGCATATAGCCATATACTAAGCCAACAAGCTTCCAAAAAGTTATGTTTCAAAGTGGTTCAGGAAGAACATGTCCATGAAGCATACCACCACCATTACTTGTTGTGTTGAATGTAATGAAGATGTTGCCTAAAACAAAGTATGTCAATCCTTCACCACCAAAACCATGATAGTTGCTTGGCCACTTGGAATACCTTTGCCCAGTGGCGGAACAAAAAAAAGTTTAAGGGTGGCATGATTTTTTTACTGCGTAACATACAATAAATTTTTTTTTCTTATTTTTTTCTTATTAAACAATTGCACATTGTGCTTTCGAAAGAACTATGAAAAATATGTCCAATTAGGACATCATACTATGAAAAATACATAGAAATTTTTTTTGATTAGTTTATCTATATACTCCATAACCTATATTAGGGTCGATAGCCGAACATCTACTTCAAAACCAAAGTTATTATCCTAATTAAGCTAAAGTTTTTAATTCCAATATCTTACGTTTTCATCTCCATCACCACCCTTCTTGACCAATTTGAACTTTTTATTCCTAAACCCAAAGTGTTTCACAAAAAAATGAACAATTTTAACTACTTACTTTGATAAACCTGAATTACTAAATCTAAATGACTCGTCGATGCCTAACATGGACCAAAATAAAGTTGAACTTTGATAAATTGTTTATATAGACGTAAAAATGAAGAGATTTTGTAAAGAAACGAAAAATAAGAATAAGCATTGTAAATGCATCAAATATATTTAGAGAATAAATAAATCAAGCCATTATTCCTGTTGGGGACTTAATACATACCTTACCATCTATTTTTAGACAAAAATTTGATTAGATATACCTAGCCAAAATCAAATAGAAATCTATAATAACAAGAAATAACTATACAAGCTTAATCAAAGAAACCTAATTGTTAATTTAAAGTTTTCTTCAACTTTTCAACAAAATGAAAAAAAATCAAAATAATGCTAAACAACGATTTAATGTTTACTTGTTTCATTCTTGCTAGTAGAGATGAAGTCGCTGAAGGCTGTAGAACCGGACGCCGACAAGGCGATGGGCAGAGCAGAGGCATCCAGAAGCTTGGAGCCTTGTGTTATCATCTTTACTTCACGTCTTCACAATCGACAGACTAGGCAAAGCAAGAGTTGGTTCCAAATTGATTAAACCTTGGTCTCACTTTGTTTGGACATTGGGCTAACTTTGTTTGGCCTATTTATAAAATGATTAAACCTTCTAAGTTTTTTCTAATTTGGACTTTTTCTTTTGACTTAGGAACTTAAGGGTAACCCAATTATTTTTCAATGGTTGCATCCATACATTAATTTTTTTTTTATATTTTTAACACTATTCGGGAAAATTTGAGAGGTAACACGGACTATCTAGACAACCATATAGGCTGCTCCTACCTCTAGCTCAATTTGCAATTGTGAGGAACCAACCAAATAAAATTTATATAAGCAGTTGTTTGGAAATGTAAATGTGACTTTTAAAGATAAATCTAGTATTTGCATCCATACAATCAACAACTCCACTGGTTACTTAATTATTAATCATTTATATCTATGAACCTATGTATATTTCTCTTTACCCTTCATACTTCTTTTAAATATCGTTGTGTGTTGTTTGTAGGATTATTCCATAATAATGGATATGATAATGTGAATTGGTTTGGTTTGTTTTCATCTTTACTTTTAAACCAACATCAGACTCATAGCGGTTAGTGTAACACCACACCAGAGGGATGTATCATTGTTGGTTGCATGAGAAGAAATGACCGCACACAGAATTATAATCAAATTGAAACCAACTTACAACATTACTTATTCATCTTTTTTTATATTCAAAATCTATATTTTACTTTGGTTTGAATTATTTCTAATCTTATTATATATATTTATTTTTTAAATAACATAATATCCTAATAAGTATATATGACATTAATTTCGACTATATAAAATATTTTACGATTAGAAAGGAAAAAAATAGAAGGATCTGTGATCATATAGAAAAAATATATATATTGTAAGTTGGTGTTAGTTATTGTTTCGTTTTAGTTTCATCTCTAATTTTAATTATATATTTATTTTGAATATTAATTTCTTATTTATAAAGATCGTTTTTATAATTTTATTTTCTTATTAAGTTATAGTGTAGATAAATTTTTTGATGATTTAGTTGCGGAAATGTTTAAATTTAATCAAATGGCCTTTAATAGCTTAACAATAATTTAGATGTGGAATAAATAGTTTTTTTAAGTTGAGCCCGCTCAACCCAACTAAGAAGAATCGAACCTAACAAACACATCTTTTTCCATCGGGGAGGGTAAATAGAGTAGCGAGAATTATAAGAACAACAAATAAACAGTGAATATAAAGTAAGGTAAATAATTTAGCTGAATCTTAACCAAGCTTTGCATGCAAGACTTAAACTTAATAAATGATCAACAACCTAAGTTTAATGAAAATCTGCAACTTGTATTATTGATAAGTATTATTGATAAGGATTACAAGATATTTTCTGTTGAAGTTCAAGAGACATTTTTACTAACTCCTAACCCTCTCTATTTTAAGACTCAAAAAGTATGTGAAACATACTGGACCATGCTTAAGTATAGCGGAAAGACAACCATACTTAACACTCCTTACTATTCAAAAATCTAAACAAGAGATCTAATCTATTAAAATAATGAAACAAATACTTTTCTACAGTGTAAAGTCAAACATCAGCTTCAGTCACGGAATAAATTCGGTCAACATCCAAAATTTTTCCATATTCATAATACACTTCACCATAAACACTTATCTGCCGAGGGTCACTTTCTTACACTAATATATAGCATTCTACTTTTATTAAAAAATAAAAAAACAGATTATTTCTTAGTTTATAAGGAGCAAAGGGAAGATGAGATGGTACCTACGTGGCAAAGTAAAAGTGATAATTATAGGAGGGGGAGTACTAGGGGTGAGCATTTGGATTGGTAGACAGCAACAATACTTGATACATATAACATCAACAACACCCTATAAATCAGCATAAAAACATAATAAGTAATAATTATAAAATATAATTCTTGAAATCACAATAATCACATTAGAAAATCAAATTCCCTCAATACTTACCCTCAAAACATGTAATCCATACCAAATACTTCCTCTAAAATCTTTGAAGTAGTGTTTAGACACAAACTTATAGAAATCATATTTGAAAATTGATGTAAGAGAGCTTCATTTTCACACATTAGCTTACTTTGTGTATATAGTTTATAATGATGTTGGTTATTGTATTCCATTTGTGCACAGAAGAACCATGGTGCTGAAGAGGAAAGCTCAGAAGTGTCACACCCCCAAACCAGGATGGCGGAAATGTTTGGGGGTGGATGACTTTCATGAAAAGTATCACAACAAATTGAATAATAGTGATCAAAGCAACACAACCATCATAATTATAAATGGGAAAAATTACATTGTATCGAAATAGTGTTTGTTTCAATACCAATTACATTATGACAAAAGTAAATAATATGACGCCATAGCGTCCCATCCTCAAAATCTTGTGATTACCTGCTTAACGATTTCCTGAGAATACAAGTAGTTTTGAAAAGTGTCAACAATTAAGTTGGTGAGTTCATAAGAGTTTTGTATGTGAAAAATTTGTAACTTTTCCTTGTAAAATGATAGTGTATGGTTCCAGAAATCCAATATTTTCTTAAAATGAGTTGTAGTCTTAAAAACCCTAAGACCAAAAATGTATAAGTATTCCTGTACTTGAAAATAGTGTTATGTAGTTTTATTCTTGTATAAAACCATTTGAGTGTATGTTAGCCCCGTAAACCAAATGTATTGTTAATAACTCATGTGAGTTATTACAACCATGCTAAAACCGTAATTGGCCTGTTGCGACGTTCTTCAGGCGTCAGAATGTTAGACAATTGTCACCCCAGACCTGCCGATCTAGCTATAGCTAACAACTTAGGTGCTAGATTGTCAGTCCTGTATAGATCTATACACAAGTGTCACGCTCTTTTACCGATATTTTGGTTATAATTCAGGACTTTAGTGTGTACTCTGGTAGGTACGGTGAAGACTATTTCTCATAAAAATTGTATCAACATGTTTACGTATAGTGTACTGAAAACCCTTTTGTAAGTAGAAATATTACATTTCCATAGTAATTACATAGTGTAAAATAATTATACATTTAAATAATTATTTGTTCGCCCCAAAATGGTAAAATGGTGTTAATGACCCATAAACTACACCCATTATAGTTTACCATAAATGTTTTGTTGTGTCTATATATATTCATAAATATATATAAGTTAACATGTTAAGATGTTTTAAAAGATTATATCATATAATTTACATCTAACACAAATATAAGAACATTTAGTATGATAAAGCCAATTTTCTAGTTTTTGGTTTTTTTAACGTCACTAACCGGTAAAAATTTAGGTTGTAAACCTTGTAAATTTTATTTTTACCTTTTGGTGGATATTGAGTCAAACTAACCTTATATGTTTAAAATAACATATTTTAGGTCAAATCTCATAAAAATGATACCATAACCTAGTCATGACCATTTTTGCTAGAAAAACCTTTCTTTTACATAAAAATGGTGGGGTTTTAAGATTTTCTTTTTGTAAAACCAAATCATTGGTATTTTTAACTAGTTTCATAACACATGTTCAAAATAAAATATTTTGATTTGTGTCCCTCAAAATAATGTAATAGCTTGGTTAAAACCATTTTTGCTAGAAAAAATCATATTATGTTCATAAAAACCATAGTTTTTATAGTTTTGTTTTTGAGACTTTTTCTCAAGAACATATAGCATGTTTATACTAATTATTCATAGACTTTTGCATTTTAAGCAACATACCACACATAAATGTTCATAATACTAGGTAATAACATTATTTCAGGTAAATAATACTTTTACACAAGTTGGAGACTAAGCATGCATAACAACTAGTGTTATGTAACACCCCGAATCCTGGATGATAAATTTAAGGGTTATAATGCACTTTGGAGGACCTACTCGACGAGTTGGTTGGTCCCGACTCGTCGTGTAGGGGCTGAGCTGGCCACACGAATTATGAAGCCTACTCGTCGAGTCGAAGGGCTGGACTCGACGAGTTAAGTCTGTATTGAGAAAAACCTAATTTTAGGGCTTGCACCCTATTTAAAGGCCCTTAAGCCCTCATTTCTGCCTCCCTGACCATTTAGACGCACTGAGGGAAACCCTAGACGAGCTGTAGTCGCTATGAGAGAGAGAAAGGCTAAAGATCTTGTGTTCAAGTGCATTTTTAGAAGAGGATTGAAGAGCAAGAAGGTTTGGAATGAGAAGAAGCTTTGGATCCAGTGTTCTTTCGGTGCTAGCTGTCAATTGGAGGGTAAAAAGCTATCTCCTTGATCATTCCTTTTGTTAGATCTATTTCTAGAGAGTTTTAGGGCTTTATCCCATCTATGTTTTGGTTTGCAGTTGTTGAGCTGGTTATGAGAGTTGAGACTTCGGATCTGAGCTATATGAGTCCATATGAGCCCAAAGATTCGAGCTTTATCAAGCTTTGGTCAAGTCTTCAAGCATAAAGACCTTTATGGAGCTTGTTTTGGCATTTTGATCCCTATATGCCATGCATGAACGTAAAGCTTGCAGCTTTACGTGATGATTCAACCTTAGGAGGCTAGATCCAGAGTATGATACCTTATTTCTGTCCAAAAACGTCTGAATGAGAAAATAGAGTTCATGGACTCGACGAGTTGATGAGACAACTCGACGAGTTGATGAGACAACTCGACGAGTCAGTTAGGGTTTACCCCGATGGTTTGGATGCGTTGCAGACTCGGCGAGTTGACGAGACAACTTGACGAGTTGAAAGGGTTTTACCCGTCTGTGGATTCAGAGTGGACTCGACGAGTTGATGGGACAAGTCGACAAGTAGGTGGGGTTTCCTGGTCTTCTGGACACTTCATGAACTCGGCGAGAAACTCAGCGAGTTGACTCGGGTTTTCACGATGTACTGAGTTCTGGAAGACACGACTAGTTTATGAGCTATACTCGGCGAGTCGGGTCAACATGGGCTGTTGACTCGAGTGTTGACTTTAGGGTTTGGTCAAGACAGGGATTATGGGTACCATGGAGGGGTAAAATTGTCTTTTACCCATCCCAAGAGTTAGAGAGAGAAAATAGCTTGGTTTATTTAGAGTTGTGATCGAAGTGCTAATTAGAGATAATTATCATATGTGTTAGGCGGAGGTTAGATCGGTGATTCGTGTACGAGGTTTATTTGCTTGCTTACGAGGTGAGTCTTCTCACTATACTTACTTTGAGTGGTAATTATGTGTGACCGGAGGGTCTTGTATGCTTATATTGAGTATTGTGATACCCTGCATTATGTCTTTGTGATTTATGATGTGTATTATGCTGAGCTTTACTAAGTTAGTTCCGGAGGGTCCACCCGAGTTATGGGACCGGAGGGTTCCACTGAGACACATCGACCAGAGGGTCTTATTTAAGATATATCCATGAGAGG